AAATGATAGTCAACGAGATGTCAAAAATGAAGGGAAGCGATGGTATGCACGTAGGAATGCCCGGCAATATGATGGCCGGCGGTCACGGCGGGCCCCAACACTTCGACTTCGACCCCAATATGAGCATCAATGAGATCCAGTTCGGAGACTATACCTCCCAAATGATCCATTCGATCGATTCACCGGGAATTGTTGACTACAACAGCCCTTATCAGCGGTCGAACCAACAGACGGGCCAAATGCCGGCTGCAATGCTCGCCTCTCACGCCCAACAATTCAATTTAGCTCAACAACAAAGTCAAGGGATGCCTCCGCACACCAACCCAGGGATGGGCGGTCCGAACGGTGCGGGCAATAATCCATTTCCGCCACAAACGCCATACTACGGCACCGACCCGTTCTCGGCATCGATGGGACACATAATACCCGCGGGTCCGCCGCCGGCGATGTTGGCTCAATACTACGGAATGCCTCCGTGGGGAATGTATCCGGGAATGATTCAGTCGAACCAAGTGCAGAGCGGTTCCACCGCACCTCATATACAACAACAGCAACAGATGATGAGTCGAAGCAACGGCACGCGACCGCTCACACCTCAGGGTCCCAGTGATAACTCCGGGACTCCACAAGCCATGCAAGCGGGTCAGTACCAAATGGTTCCGCACGGATATTACGATCAAAACGGCTCTATAATGATGGGCAACACCGGCGCCAGAGGTATGAATCCGGCGGCGATGCGAATAATGCCCCAAATGATTGTCAATCAGTCCGGAAGTAATAATATACGAATGATGCCAAACGCAGGACAAACACCGCAACAACACTCCGGCCCTCCAAACGCATTGTTCTCGTCAAACGGCTCTAACGGACCCAATAATGGTCTGTACTCTTCGGCCACAAACTCTCAGATTCCATATCCAGCGTCTGTTTCGTCTTCAGGAGTTCCCAACTTTTCCAACTCATCGAACGGCAATCAAATGGGTTTCAATCCAAACATGAGTCGTAATCAAGTGCAGGGCTACGGCAACAGTGCTTTGGGACCCATCGGGGCCTCCATTGCGTCGGGAATGGGTTTGGGTGGAAGTGGTTCCCCCAGAAGAGAGTCGTTTGACGGCAGACGTGATGGCGGTCTGAGCGGAATGTTTCCCAACAGTCTTGACGGCCAGTTCTCTCGTCACATGGGATCGAATCCCAAAAATGGACAGTTCTATGGCATCGCATCGCCCGGTCCTATAGGAATGTTACCATCGGCTCAAAGTCTCACTCCTCCCCCTTCTCTCGACGGCTCAAACAGTAGTTTAAATGTCAATGCGTTCGGCAATCGTATGTCTGCCGCTCCCGGAGCTGAAGCCAAGTATATGATGAGAAACGGACAGATGAGTGGCGGTGTGTTTGGCTCTTCCAACTCCTCATTTAATAGTCGAATGTTAACCCGAAAGTGAGTTGTATTTCATTGATTTTTTAATGCTATTATTTGCCACTTATTTCTAAACAACTTTGCATTTGTTTTTTCACTAAAAGCTCTTCATTAGAGAAGTCGAGCGGAAGGAGTCGTTTGTTAGAAGATTTCCGTAACAATCGGTACCCAAACCTACAATTGCGTGATTTGGCGGAACATATCGTGGAGTTCTCTCAAGACCAACACGGGTCCAGATTTATACAACAGAAGTTAGAGAGGGCCACACCTACTGAGAAGCAAATGGTGTTTAACGAGATTCTCGGCGCCGCTTATAATCTAATGACTGACGTATTCGGCAATTATGTCATTCAAAAGTTCTTTGAATTCGGAACTCCCGAACAAAAGCAGGCGTTGGCGCAGAAAGTGAGGGGTCATGTGCTTCAGTTGGCGCTCCAGATGTACGGCTGTCGAGTGATTCAGAAAGCGCTCGAATCGATACCTCAGGACCAGCAGAAGGATGTGGTGAAGGAGTTGGACGGACACGTCCTCAAGTGTGTCAAAGATCAAAATGGCAATCATGTCGTACAGAAATGCATTGAGTGCGTCGAACCCGTGGCTCTTCAGTTCATTATCAGCGCCTTTGCGGGTCAGGTATGTGTCCACACATTCATCCATTATTTGTCGTGATTTTAACGCATATTAATGTATACATGAAAAGGTGTACGCGTTGTCGACCCATCCGTACGGGTGTCGCGTTATTCAGCGCATTCTTGAGCACTGCAACGGAGAACAGACCACTTCCATACTGGAAGAGTTGCACACCAACACCGAGCAGTTGGTTCAGGACCAATACGGCAATTATGTGGTCCAACACGTGTTAGAACACGGGAGACCCGAAGACAAGAACAAAATCATTCTAATGGTCAGAGGAAAGGTCTTAAATCTGTCGCAACACAAGTTTGCGAGGTTTGTGTTCATTCATTGCTTATGTCGCGTGTCTTATAGTTTGAGATTTTGTTTTGCTTTTTTATTGTACTAATACTTGTATTTAATCGGACAGTAATGTTGTCGAGCGTTGTGTGACACACGCGAGTCGAGCCGATCGAGCGTTACTTATCGAAGAAGTCTGTACTTATAATGACAGGTATAGTAAGCCATTGTTTGCAATATTGGATGTGTGCTAATGATGAGTTGTTTGCAGTGCCTTATATACAATGATGAAAGACCAATACGCCAATTACGTGGTCCAGAAGATGATAGAAGTGGCCGAAACGCCTCAACGCAAACTACTGCTGCAGAGGATCCGTCCACATATGCCGGCGCTCCGCAAGTATACGTATGGCAAACATATTTTGGCAAAACTCGAGAAGTTTATGATGAAGAATAGCTCAGATCTCGGCCCTATCGGTGCTCCGCCTAATGGCTCGCTGTAAGTGACGGCGCATTTGCATGAAATGTACGACAAAATCATTGTTTAAAATCTTTGACAAAGCGTTTGATGTTTTTTCTTCTGTTTTTGATTTACCCTTTATTTTCGCTGATTATTATTATTCGTATAATTATTTTAGAATCAATTTTTAACATTTTAGATGAGAAACAAAACTTATAAATAATGTAATATCTTCTGTATAACTGTATTGTAATTGAAATTCACTTATAATCAACTTATTTCCAGAGTTCTTGAGAGAGAGCTGCTGTAAAAATCCTCCTTTCATTGACGTTTCAAAAACTTGTTGTTATATTGATATGAATAGCCATTTATAATGTTATCGTCAAAATTCCTTATTATTTAATTTCTCTCATCGTATGTGAGATATAAATATATATATATAAATATAATATACCCTAAAAACGAAGCCCTAATACGCGACTATAAATATGATAAATAGTGAATACATTTGCTCTGTTAAGTACAGTATAAATATATACATAAATATATATAAAATAATTAATAGACGGGTGCGTAATGTCTCGGATAACACGATAATATCGTACCGCAAAAAATTGACAATAATTTTACTTATATTTAATTATAAAAGCAAATTATGATAAATCATGAATTCTATATAAATAATGTATATACATATGAATATACATATTATACATATTTTCATTGAAGTTTTCTCTCTATTCATTCGGAATCCAATTCAAAACACGTCTAAACAAATGATTTAATGAATTACTCAAAAGAGTTTAAGTATAAAAACCCTAATGAAATATGCGTCTTATCCACAGGAGGGAGGGAAGGGGTCCTGCTTTTCATATATGAAAGTATATCTAATGGGCTAAATAGTGGTGCGTATTGTCGGCGGGAATTTAGGGTAATTTAATAATTTAAAAGACTATATACTGTATGCTTAAGACTTATATATAAATTGTAATTTTTTCTCAACGATTTCGATATGTATTATGAAATGAATTCAATATATTATATATTTAACACTATTTTCAGTACCAATTAGTAATTATTATTATTTTAATCGTTTCGCAAATTCTCTCTCTTTTAAAAGACTTTAAAATACATTATTTTAATAATGAATTGTTTATTCAATCAATTATTTCTGTGTTTATTTTCAGTTAATTTTTTTTCTTCATATTTTTCCTCATAAATAAGATGTAATGAAACGAAACATTTATTTTTGTGTGATTTGTGAGCTTATAGTGTAATAAATCGACAATTTTTTTTCAAAGAGTTTATCATTGATTAAAATAAAGTATTTTAGTCTTAGATTTTTTGTCTTTAATTTAATTATCAATTTAACGGATTTGTTAAAAGCAAATGACAAAATCATTTGATTGAAAAACTGTTTTTTTTTCACAACACAATCACTATTTTCTATTTCGGTTTTTATTATTACTTTAGTAGCAATTAATTGTATTTATTATTATTAATGAATTTAGTTCACAATTAATGGGAAACAGCTTTAAAGCTGACGTATATATGAATATATAAAATAAATATTTCTTTTGAAGCTTTTTGTCAAAACGGCTCTACTTTTTGAAACTAAATCGCTGTATATGTTGTAAATTCTCTATTATATAGTCAATTATAATCAATAAAATATTTGTATTCATTTAAACTCATTGTCTTCTTATTTCAATCCATTATTAAATTGCATTTTATACACAAAAAGTAAGTTATTTCACGATTGTCTGCATTCCTATACCTCTTCGTGCGCTGCAAAGTGTTGCAAACAAAAGAGCAAACGCCCCAAAAACCGCATCCAAATCCACCCCCGACTCCCTATAAATAGCATTTTAATAAACATTTGATGATAAATGGTATTCAATGATTGGTTCAATTATCCATAAAATAGCAAATATTATGACAACAAACTATTGGATGCTTTTATAGAGCATTCTCTCTGTTTAATCAATAAACATAAAACTTGTGGACAATGAATGGTCTCATCAATGAAAGAGTCCACTTAACACACTATATGCTATCGATTGTACACTAAAAAGCCATTACCGTCTCATTTCAGTGAATATCTATTTAATCAAATGTTTTATTCTTTCACTCCTTTACGCCTTTAACCAAACGCGATGTCTAGATGTCTGGGACCGGGAGTCCAATCATTTGTCTCAATCTCTAATTGCAAACACAACTATTGTTTGAGTAGATCTTTGAGCAGATTTTTAAATCATTAAACGGAAAGAATATATAAATTTATTGTTTAATTCCAACCATTAATGAGATTGAGTTAATAGCGTAGAGGCGTTGCCCACAACATTCACTTGATGTGTACATTACTATTTTTATAAGCATTAATTGCAATGTTATAGTGTTATAGTATTAATAATTTATAAATATATACAACATTTAATTGTATTATTAAATTATGTTGTAACAGAATAAGTGCTTTTTAGAGGAAACAAATCATTATTATATGAAACGTAAGCCGTTTTAAGAGCATAAATATGATGGTAAACGGAATGAGCAAACATTTTCCACAGTCAGCCACTCTATTCACTACAAGAATAGAGTTATTGAATAAATAATGGCATTCAATATGCAGTCGAGGAATGGAAGTGAAAATGAATACTAAACGAAGAAACAAAAAAGTACTGCAAAATCATTGAATTGACATCAAAATGATTGTACGGTATTTGATGTCATGAATATAATACAGAAATGAAACACAAATACTGTACGCGAGAAAACACTTATCACTGAAAGTGAGATACGAATCGATGAATTGGGGGCGGAATTCGCTGTTAAACACAATAAAACAATTAAAAGTACAAAAATAATCATTTTTTATCATAAAATTTATTTGTATTTTTTGACCTAAAGTTTTTGTTGCTTTTCTATACAATGAGAGAAAAATTACATATTATTTGTTTTGTTTTTAATTTATAACTTTTTAATTAACTTTATATATAAAGCAATGATTAAATAATCGCACACAAGAGGAATGCATTGTTTTGTTTTGTTTAAAACAATTAAATGTTTATCAATAATACAGTGAATAAATATAAATATTTTTCCAACAAATACTTTAAAATCAATAGAAAAAAGAGTTTTAAACTAAATTATACTTTAAAAAATGGGCAAAACATGAATTGCAACAGAAGTTAATTTACAAAATCAATCGACGCTTAGAGTTGTCTCTGGAATACAGGAAAAAAATTTACTGAAAGAATAATATATTAAACGTATTAAAGGATATAAAACTTTAAGTAATAATTAATTTAAACAAAATTCAATTACAAATACAGAAAAATAACAGACAATCTATAATCAATTAAATAGATATTTAATTACCGTATATACTCTCATAAAAACACCGGTAATATTATGTGAAATCCAGTAAAAATGCGATTTTTCAAAACAGGGGTAATGTTACCTAGATAAGATTACCCCCCATTACTAAAACTCACATATTGTTACCGGTAACGCTATGTGAAATTCAATTGAAGGGTATTTATTCATTCAAATAGCAAATGTCAAGAGGAATGCATTGTTTTGTTTTGTTTAAAACAATTAAATGTTTATCAATAATACAGTGAATAAATATAAATATTTTTCCAACAAATACTTTAAAATCAATAGAAAAAAGAGTTTTAAACTAAATATTACTTTTAAAAAATGGGCAAAACATGAATTGCAACAGAAGTTAATTTACAAAATCAATCGACGCTTAGAGTTGTCTCTGGAATACAGGAAAAAAAATTTACTGAAAGAATAATATATTAAACATATTAAAGGATAGAAAACTTTAAGTAATAATTAATTTAAACAAAATTCAATCACAAATACAGAAAAATAACAGAGAATTTATAATCAATTAAATAGATATTTAATTAACTAAAAGTACATGTTTTTGTACTGTTTTTGTGTTCACAATACATGCAAATGAGTAGCAGTTTTTATATATAAATTATAATACAATTTTATTCAACATTTATTTCCATACTTTTAGATGATTTCAGTTTTGTATTCATTACTAAATATTTTTGTATTTTTTGTATATAACTATCGATACGTTTGACTAATTGTTATAATTTAATAATGTTTTGAAACTATTGTTACTTTTAGTGATAATTTTAAAACCAAAATCTATTTTTACGGTAAAAACTGGGAAATTAGTCAAACGTTTGATTAAATGTCTTACAGATATCATACAAATGAAAGAAAAGCGCCAATCATTTAAAGACAAGTGCTCTCTAATAGATATATTGGTATAAAATAAACACTTAAAACCACTTCTGCCAAAGTATTCAAAACATTTTAATCAAAATTGTATAAGTTTTTAGTAAGATGTAATCATGACCCTAAATATAGGGGTAACGCTACCTGGATAAGATTACCCCCCTTTGTTGGATTTCACATAATATTACCGGGTGTTTTTATGAGAGTAAATACGGTAACTAAAAGTACGGTTTTTGTGTTTACAATACATGCAAATGAGTAGCAGTTTTATATATAAATTATTAATATAATACAATTTTATTCAACATTTATTTCCATACTTTTAGATGATTTCACTTTTGTATTCATTACTAAATATTTTTGTATTTTTTGTATATAACTATCGATACGTTTGACTAATTGTTATAATTTAATAATGTTTTAAATTTGAAACTATTGTTACTTTTAGTGATAATTTTGAAACCAAAATCTATTTTTACGGTAAAAACTGGGAAATTAGTCAAACGTTTGATTAAATGTCTTAATCTATAGTATGTTTACTTTCTTTTCGCGGTTAGTAAATTTCTGTTCACGAGAGATTATCTATATAACCATATTTTATTTGTGAATTTTGGTGAAGACGGTTTCATAAGTTTTGTAAAATTAGTTTTATTCAATATTTATATGTATTTATAATTATTTATAATAATTGCGATTTTTTGTTTGTAATAGTTTTTCATAATATATCAGATAAAACTCAAATGTCTTTAATTTTTGCCATTATTTGTAAATTATATTCATATGTAATCCTAATGTTTTAATATTAATATTTTTAATTAATTATTAGTTTATAATTGTAATGGATTTAGGATTTGCTGTTCTGACCCGTCGGCGGATTTTGTTTGAGCTGTAAAAGTATTGATCGCATTCTTGTCGTGTCTTTCGTATTTCGGGTCGATTTGGGATTAAAATCACACATTTTCGCTATTTTCTCCCATTCCTGTCCCGCGACCTCTGTATCCCTTTCGGCCACCCATTCCTTCTCAGCATTTCTTCAAACAAAACAAATACAATTAATTGTAATCAAAACATATCATCACAACATTTATTACAACTTTTGACAGCATATCAAAGAGTGTGGAAAGCATTCTCTAATCAACTAAACACTACAACAATGGGTTCGTATCTACAAATATGTTATACAAGACATAGTATTGATGGCTTACTTGCACGCCTCCCTGTGCCGCACAGACAGTCAAACAGATAGTAATCAGTTATTTATTATAATCAGTAATTACGTCAATAGCGACAATTACAGATTGTTTGCGAAATAACGTTTTCGTAAACAATAAGTTAGCTATTGAGTTTGTAGCCAAAAACCGCATAAAAATAGTAATTAACATTAATAAAAAATGTATAATAAAATCAAACATTAAATACCTATTATTTAGTTTCGACTTCTCGAGCTGTTCCGCGTATCGCGCGTACCACTCCTCGAGTTCATGTTTGGCCGTCTGTTTCAGCTCTTCTTTGCGTACACTCTCTTCCCTGTCCTTCTCCTCGAGAAGTCTGTTCTGCTCTTCCCTCCACTTCTTGATCTTCTCGGGCTCTTCCTTCGGCTCCACCTCTCGTATGGTTTCCGACGACTCGTGCGACGAATTGATGGCATTGTTTGTCATGACATTCATGTCGTGTTCGTCACCGTTGGACAGATTCAGACCGATTTCGCCATTAATTTCATCCAAAAACTATACAAAAACATTGCATTCAATAATCATTTGGATTCAAAACATACATCATTGAGACGACGAGACAATACCTCATTCGTGTCTCCATTGGAATAATCGCCGTTGAATTCTGACAACAAATCAAAGACATTATTATCATAACAATCAAAGAGTGGTCGGAAGTGATGACAATGTAATTACTTTGCGATACAAGAAATCCTAATCGGCCCTTAAGTTTCAGCAGGAGCTCAAGACGGTTTTGTAAGACGAGAGCCCGATTCTTCAGCCGGCGGCCCAGAAGTGAGCAGTGACTGTAGTGACGACAATACCAACCTAGTTCAGAAGACTGAGAATCGCGTGTTAAGTTACAGTTTTTTTGTTTTGTGTTTAGCAAACAGCTCTTTAGTTTCACACAAAACTCTGTTCTTCACTTGGTTTATATCACAGTTTGCTCGCCTGTTAGTATAGGCTTATGGTTTGAATGAAGGGATCGACTGATGGTTGCGATTGAATGACAGGAGAAGTGTTGGAAACGATTGAAACAACTCTTGTGTCAAGACGTGAGACAATCAATGGAGGCGTCGACGAGACGGAAGTCGTTGTACTCATACAACACGTCACGTGATTTCACACACATTACGTCCCAAACACTCAAACACTGAGACACCCATTGATTGGCTGTCTTGACGTCACTTCCACTCAACGATCACAACAACAACAACACTAACTGTCACTTCAGTAGTCCATCGCTTCTTCGCCACCACCGAGTCGTCCATCTGATCCCAGACTGTCCTCCAAACTCTCATATCACTGGCCGTCAAATGTCTGCCAACAATAGTGTACTCAATGTCTTCAACCGTCAGTTGTCTTCTATTGTCTCTCAAAGACTAATCATTTTCTAATGTTTTGTATTCCTCGATGTCTTGTAGTGTCGGCTGAAGTGATGAACCGATTGTTTATTCAAAAGCCGTTTATTTTTGGCGAAATCCGGTTTTTAGTGAACGCTTTGGAGACACGGATTGAATCAGATTTGAATGAATTGAACGAATCTATGGATCGGCTCAACGATGTGAAGGACTCGAAGATTACTTCTGCCATTGATTTGTGCCATCGTTTTGACGATGAATTCAATTCTCGCACCGATTCTCTCAACGAACTGATGAAAGAGATTCTGGACTTAGAGTCACAGCAAAACATTGAACGCAAAGAGACGCTAAAGACTAAAAGAGAGGACAGGAATCGGGAACTGAACCACGAGATCGGGATCTCGAAGAATAAGATTGAAGAGATCGACACTCAATACGAACAGCAAGAAAATGAATTAAGACTTTATTACAAAGACTTGGAGACGAAGCTTAAGATTATTCCCAATTCTAGTGATAATTAAAATACAAAGAAACAAAACTATTGATAAATTATTTCCTATTTGTTTGTTATGTAAAAAATGTTTATTTTATTAGTATATTATAATAATATTACAATTTTTATAAGTCACACGAGAAATGTTTGTTAATTAAATATTTTGATAATTTATATAAAAAACTAATTATTTTCGCACAAAAAGTTGTCATTTTGTGGTTCGGATGAGAGATTTTCAAGAAGTCTTCTTTTTATAATTGAATTAAATTCAGAAATTGTATGAAAATATATGTCAAATACATGTCGCGAGTCGTGACTTATGATTGATTTGAATATAATTGTGGTTTAGATGTCATTCAAGTGTTTCATACAATTATGACAACAGAATTCATATCTGATATGAAAAGAAATGTAAAATCTTTTCACATATAAAGAGATGTATTTTTGTGTGGATTTAAGAATCGAGAGACTGTTTAATGGGTACCGAAGAAGAGGTCACTAATAGCTGATATATAATGGGAGAGAGAATTCAAAACTGGATTTTCATTCAACAAAATAACAAAAACCTAGCGTTTTGTGTATTGAATTGCATAACAGCACAGCTATTGACCCGTTCCTGGTTTGGCTCAATCATTGAGGGGACTGTTGTGTGCCATCCATTCAATGCCCATATAATGCATATACAAAAACTGCTTATCATAAGTAAAACTAAAAGTTCTCTCTCTCTCTCTCTCTCTCTCTCTCTCTCTCCATATAATTCATAGATGTATTAAAAAATTCTTTAGCCTTAAAGTCATTGGACTTACTGTTCAATACTATCGATAAATATGTTTCAATACATAACTTAATTACATTATCTGTAAGTTCTTGAATACATTGAATATCATGTATGGGTTTGCGTGAAAAATAAAGTTTGAAATAGTTTTAGTTTGAATCACACGTTCAATCGATAAATATGTTTCAATACATAACTTAATTACATTATCTGTAAGTTCTTGAATACATTGAATATCATGTATGGGTTTGCGTGAAAAATAAAGTTTGAAATAGTTTTAGTTTGAATCACACGTTCAACACAGGGATACAGTGTTGTTATTTAAAGTGCTATACAATTACATAACATGGATAAGAGTGTATAGTGTACTGTACTGTACACTGTATAGTGTAGTGTCGCTAACAGTTGCAGTTGCAGTGTAATTGAAATGCTAGGACTCGTTTGATATGACAATACAATCGTTACAATTGTGGTCTCAATTGTTTTTGCTATGCTTTGCAATTATAGCCATCAATTGTAATACATGTTTAAACACAGGACTGCCTTCACTGCCTGTCATATGAAATATACGTTACATTCATAATAGCGTTCACAACAACAGTGTTTGCACTCAAATATAGTGCACACAAAAACACCAACACTTGATGTGAGCATTCATTCAACGCTTAAGCCATTCAGTCATTCATTTCAGTCAATGCTTTTCAATGTCTCTCACATTTTGAGCCATACTTTTTTCAAATGCTTTTCAAATAATTAACTGTTTTCACAATTAATTGTTCAAAACATACACACAATCGTCCACTAAATCATTCATTTCACGGGTAATTCATTTCATCCCTTATTTATAGCATATATTTCTAATCATTTGTATATAAATTGTGTTAAATTTTGTGTGTTTTTCAATAATCAACAAATTATTGAATATTTTTAACTTTTTGTTTTGTTTTGTGATTTGCTTTTTGTGTTTGATTTTAACTGTTATTATCGCATATTTTGCTAGTTTTTAGTGAATTATAATTCAATTCAATGTATGTCTTGAATAATGAGTTATATTTAGATTTAATGTTAATTTTAATTGTAATCTCATTATGTTTTTGTAGTTTTAATTAAAGCCCAAACAACTGATGGCTTTTAGCCATTGATTTACACATAGCGTTAACATTGAATGACTAATCAATGGTTTGCTTTATATTTCAGACAAAATCATTAATATATCAAATGTTTGATCGATAAGTGATGACAAACTTCACACAAACTTCAGTTTAATGTGTCTTTGATTTGAAAGTTAATACAAATTGAATGAATGATTAAGTGATGCCTTATATGGCTATTGATGTCAATTGAATACAAGTGTGTTTTGTATGCGAAGACATTTCTTAGACAATAATTATCCGCTTTTGTCAACAATTCATACTTAAAGAGTGAAAACCCATTTTGAAAGACACCATGACTTCCAGTGAATTGGATGAACACTTGGATCACTTAATTCACATCACATCCGATGAATACCAGTATTTGGACTCAACAGACAATTGGCTCACATTTGACTCGGACTCGACTCTAAACGCCAACGAAGACATCACCGAATGGATCAGAAGTGCATTTTCTAGTGAGAGATCCCGAGGAACTCATATGTATTTAGTGAACAAATTGGACGAAATGAAAGTCTTGAGCCCAGAGTCGTCGGCCTCCGTCGACACCCGGACCTTCACCCGCAATAAACAGCGACACAAACGCCAGTCTCTGTTCAATGGCAGTGCTTTGTCCACACTTTGCTCTCCAGTCAATGAAGACGACTACTCGAGTCCTGAGACCAACGATCGGACGTTTGAAGTGAACCACAATCGGTCGCTGAACGGCACGTTTGTCAGGAACAACGGCAGAGACAATACATTCACACTTCCATCCGATGTCGACATTCAGCTCAATAACATCGATGACGTCGAGAAGATCGCTAAACTCCAAGAGGACAGTCTTCGTCAGAGCTGTTCCAACGGCTGGTCCGCTCAACACAAGTCCCCGAATAGGAGTTATACATTAGACGATCACAAAAGTCCATTATATTCACGAAATAATACTATTAATACAAATACGTTAACTAAAAGTCGCGGTCATATCAGACAAAGAGTGCCCGAAGTTATGAACGATTACGACATGAACGCAGAGGAGGAGGAAGCGTACGAAGACGATCAGTACCAGCGCTACGAGAATGCCTTATCACCCGGTATTTGATTTGTGATTATATTTTATGATTATATTATAAATAATTATTTTTGTTATCTTATAAGAAGTGGAGAGTTTTGGGACTCATTTGTACGACCATTCGTCCACTCCTTTGGTGCCGAAGAACCGAAGTATTAATTATAATCAACAAAGTATTCGCCAACCGATTGGCCAGAAGATAATGCCAGACGTAAGTAACCTGAAGTCACACAGCAGTTATGGCGGATCCAAAATTGGCAAAAGCGAACCCAATTTGTCGCGACGACTGCAACCCATGACCAGACCTATGGCTTATAATAACGCATCCAAAATGAATCCAATGGGAAGCCGACCCCCGCAACCAAATCCAAGCAGAAGTTTCCTGGAGTCAAAGGCTCCGAGCGATTCCCGGCTTACAGTACGCAATGGGTTAGGCTTTCAAAACCATAATCACATGCAAACTGTGGGACGCAATACATCTCCTCCGCCCTCTCAGAGCCAACTCATTCTCAATAGAAAAGTAAGGAAATAGTTGTCCATTAAGTGTGATTTTTTTTTGAATGAAATAATTAGCTTTTTTGTAAATATCCGTAACATTTGTGAACTGTTTTTCTAAAAATAGATTTATATTTGCATTTCAAAAGTGAAATATTAGTTAAATGTAATTAAACGAAACGATATTAACAATTGGTATGCACTATAGGTTGCGGTTGAGGGAGAGCTTAATAGAGTGGGCACAACCACTACCACTAATCTGTGTAGAAAATCCACTTTTCGGGTGCGAGACTATGCTATTAATAATGAAGACAATGGCAGTGACCTGTGCTTAGCTAACGGTTCCAATGCCTCAGCGAATGGTTTCCAAAACACTAACAAAACACACAATAATAATAATACTGTTCAAAGAAATGTGTCAAAAATTCCCGGACCGAAGACTAATAATAGGTGACCATTGCTTGCATTTCGATTAATATGATAATCATTTAATATATAAATGCTTTAATTAATTATTAATAGCTTGTATTTGTAACTAAAAATAATGCATGAAATTATAATTAAACCAATTATTGTTGTTTTTCAGATCCGGAATTCCAGTTTGTGGTCCGCGCACAGCAATTCCGGGCCCAGTAAACTCCCGGCCCACCCATCCTATCGATAACTCGTGGAAAAATGGATGTTTTTAGTACCCATTGTATTAATTATTTGCTTTTAATTGTAACTATATTTTTAATGAATTGTTTGTTTTTGTTTTGAAATTATTCTAAATCTAAATTTATCTTCATTTTAGTCACAAATGTTTTCAATTTTAAAATTATTTTTCAATCAATTTTTACGAAATATTTTAAATCTGTGATAAAATTTATCATTTGTGGCCATAAGTCCCCCAATAATTAACAATTAATTATTACAACATTTATTGGTTTTATTGTTTAAACCCTTATTTTATTGTTGAGTAAACTTAGTTTGAATTTTGCCTGAGATTAGGTTCAATTGAAATTCTTTTATAATATAACGCTTTATAAAATTTTTTATATAAAAATTATACAAAAGTTTATACATTTAAAAGAAAGCACTTTTTCAACGATTATTATTATACAAAGAGTACCATAACATCAAGTAATGCAGATATAAGTAAGACTTTTGTGCCTTTTCTTCGATTAATTCGCAAACAATTTAAGTGCTATTTATTGATAATAATGTATATAAATCTATATATTGTACACACATTTTGTCAATTTGTATATTTTATGAGATTAAATATCATTTCCTTCAAAATAAAACATTGTTTTCATTGTGTGTTGAATGTGTGAGTGATGTTTGCACTTAAAACAAATTGTCCTTAAATTATGTTAACTCCAAATATTCATGCGTTTAATGCCATAAAATTGTTTTTTATAATTTGAATTCATTATAACTGTTGCGAACTTTTGATATGAAAAGTAATTAACGATTAAAATGAATACAAGAATAACGAAAGGAATACCTGTTTATCAGGAAAGGATGGGCTGAGAAATGCCTGATTTTCAAGTTATTATGTGTTTAAATGATATGTTAAGTCACATAATCACTATATTTTCTATAATAGTCTTAATAAAAAGGTATCAAATGTTATAAATTATAATAAATGGATAGTATTTTGATATATTTTTGTAATAACTTAAATACAGTGCATGTGTGAGGACAGTAACCTTCATAGAATTGCTTACATAACAGTATTAAAGTTGATTACATAATTTGTATGTAATTTGCCATATATTTACTGTACACTAGATATGCCTAAAGTATATTCCAGTGATATTATGAATGATAGACCGCTGATAACAATGTGTTGTCGCAAACAAACAATCAATGAATTACTTCTTTAAGACTCGACTCAATAGACACTATAATTGCCATTAATTGAAAATACATTTTTATTTCAGATAACAGTCATGTAATTTAATACAGACTCATATAAATAGTAGTCAAACTAATTGAATATACATTAAAATGTACCATGGTAGTCTACGTAATTTGACTATCAATTTACATACAGTTATTATTATAGGGCACATCTAAATCAATGCTACAATAATTATTGAGAATCTTACACTTATTAAACTTTATACATTGTACTGTACAAATGATACAATATGAAAAAAAATAATCATGTTTAATTGGGTATACATTTGTATATACATTTTGGGTAAATTTATATACGGTAAATATTGAAATATATGGGTTAAAAGCGATGGAAGTGTCAAGATTGTTTGTTCTAATTGAGCATGGTACTTTTAATTCGTCTCTAAATAATTGGCGCTTTTCTCACTTTTATTGCCTAAATGTGTCATAACATATGATTCGTCCATAAATTACGCGCAAAACATATGATCAAATCTTAAGCCCCAATTCGGCCATCGATTGGTTCGAACACAAAGTGTGTTACAGAGAATGCAAATGCGGGCAAACTTTATACTATACTCACAAACATATTGTATATAACAGTGAATTGTATTAACGCGTAAAACGGGTGTAAAATATTGGAGAATACGTAACACTATTTGTGAAGAGCGCATAATTTGGTACCAAAAGTGTTGCATAAAATCGAGTGAAAATCATTGAATGAATGGTAGAAATAAAAAGTGATTTTCGTATTGAAGTCAATGTGAATATCATTTGTGTTGAGTTTTTTTGAACATTGAATGGATGTATGAATGCATACAATGAGCGCATGAGTTGAGACATGAGTGACAATGAAGTGGTGAATGAAGACAACGACAACACACCGCCGATTGTCCACAAAATACACTCATTTCTCAAACACATCGACCAATTGGGCGCCGAAGAGGTGTCCACACATCAGGTGAGACAATGGATGCGTGAATTGGTGACCATCGCTGCGCCCAAAGTCACTATCAATGGTCACAATCGCCGCCACAAACA